TCTTGGTCCATTCACACATTTAAAATTAATAAAGTCGTAAAATTAGGGACGAGTTGTTACACATATGGATTTTGTAGAGGTCACATAATCCTATGAAATCCATCGCTTACCAAAATCTTTTAAAATCTTCTCAAATCCTAACTTGACTACACCCCCCTAAATCTCCATTATGCATTAACATTTAGAAATCACTCTCTTCAAATGCACAAGGCAAATAAACTATTTTTCATTAATCAAGTCTTCTATTCAAGGATTTCTAGTATAATATTTATAAGGGTTTACAAATTAATAGACCTAAAGTTTCTATAATACCCTTACAACTCTGACAATAACTTAACAAATTCCTAAGTAACTAAAATAAAAAACTTCATTTTAATCCTTAAAAAAGATGAGTTTAAGACTATAACCTTGTGCTAAATTAAAATCTAATTTTAGTCTTGATACATTTAATCATCTCATTTACTAATTATATTTCGATATTTTATTTCTTTCATTTTTCCTATTTTTAATGTGTTAATTACATTTCATTTTCATTTTCATTTGATTCATCATAATATATTTTGAAGTCTACATTTAGGTAAACTAAATTTTATTTTTATATAATATAGGAATATACAATTTGTATAATCTTCATTTAGGTATATTAATTCATTTGATATATTTTTGTATATCCATTGATACAAATATATATATACATTAATTCAATATAATTCACATTTCGGTATATTTATTTCAATATATACATTTCGGTAACTTAATTCAATATAATACATTTCGATACATACATTTCAGTATTAACATTTAGGTATATTAATTCAATATAATACATTTCGGTACATACATTTAGGTTCATATATATGTCGGCACAAACATTTCGGTATAGTCATTTCTATACACTTATGTATTTACGTATTTATGTGTCACTAATTTCTTTTAATATTTTCTCATTTATAGGGAAGTATTATTGGCACTCCTCATTCTACACTCCTCATAAGTGTATTTTTCTTTTCAAATATAGAAAATTTGGAGTGTAAATTGAGATTTTTGAAATGTCAATAACAATTTCCCATTTATATTCATATACAATTGAAAGAACTAATACGTAAAATTTTCGGTTATTTTTTTACTCGCTTCTGCGCCTCTTCCACAGGAGAGAACACTGTGAGCACCCCTGGTCGCCTAGCGCTAATCATATGGCTCTTTGTAGTTTTGATAATCAGCACATGGTACACCTCTAGTCTGACATCAATACTCATAGTGGATGACCTATCTTCTCATATTGAAGGAATTGAAAACTTGAAAAATAACGATGAGTAAATTGGTTATCAAGGTGGTTCCTTCGTTCAACATTATTCAAGTGAGGAACTTGGAATACCCAAGAACAGGCTTGGTGCTCTTCAGTCTCCTCAAGCAGATGCACTGGCTTTCCGGCATGGTCCTAAAAACGGAGGTGGAGGTCTTGCTGCGGTGGTTGAGGAAGGCCCTTATGCTCAACTCTTCCTCTCTCCGCGTTGCAAATTTGGGGTTGGAGGATCAAAATTCACCAAAAAGGGATGGGAATTTGTGAGTTTTTTTTCATACGACATTCGTATTTTGAAAACAGGAGCATTACATCTTTTACAAGTTAGCCGAATGTTAATAAGAACCAAAGCTTTAACATGTCATCTTTGCCATAACAGGCATTTCGACGGAACTCTCCCATTAGCCGCTGACATGCCAACTGTAATTTTACAACCATCAGAGGATAGCGGATCCATGATAAGTGGCTTAAGCAAGGGCAAAGGGCTTGCAATTTAGAGACCACTGAACATACGTCAGACCAGCATCATCTTAAAAGTTTTTGGGGCCTCTTTCTCATATCCGGAATTGCTTGCTTCATAGCTCTCTTCGTATATTTTGGGATGTGCTATCCACATATTCCATTTTCCTTTTCACACATCCTTAATAATTTCGGTCGGTTGATCTTCTTAAATTCATCCGATCTGACAGTCGAAAATTAAAAATGAGTGTGAGAAGTGAAATGAGATGCGTGGATATCACATCCCATATATTTTTAGAAAAACTAATGAAAATGGTTTGGAAACTTTAAGTTTTAACGGTAATGACAAAATAAAGGATAAAGTGAATTGATTTATAAAAGTATAGTTTTTGTTAAAATGAACAGTACGAAGCTTTTGTTTCGTTAAAGTTGCCTATGTTTTTTGCAAGTTTTCAACAAGCTACGCCGTGCTGAACTCAAACAACCTATTTCAACTAGTCCAGGTAACTCACAACCAATAGTTGAAGAGATGGAAAATCACTCCAACAGTGGAACTAAAAGAGAGAGATTAGTTAGATCATTGTCCAACAGTTGTTATATACTCCAACAGTGAAGTAGAAGAGATCAGATAATATTGTTATCTTACCAGCCTTTTAATTGTGCAAAATACTTGTTGGTATCTTTGGAAATGTTCAAGGGCATAGGATGCATGAATGACTGAACTCCAAAAGGCATGAATGGCTTAATTAAGTTTGGCTTCTCATACACCAAAATTGACTAAGAATGACTGAATTCCAACATAAAAACTTCACAAAACTCACTCAATAGTGCCGCAGAAAGGTCTCTGCCGCCGCCTCGACCTAATCTCTCGAAGATTCGATCAGATTGCCGCCCAAGCTCAGCAGCGAAAAGGTCTCCACCGCCTCCTCGTCCTCATGCAAGCTCAGCCCCTTTCCCCTTCCTCGATACATTTGACTCATCTCCTCTGTCCGATCCTAATCACTAATATAATATAGATCAGTACGTACATTTCGGTACAGTCGACTAATCTCCTCTGTCCCATCCTAATTACTAATATAATACATTTCAATGCATGCATTCCGTCCTATCTCAATTCTTAATATAATATTTTTGGTATGTACATTCCGATGCATTAATTCAATATAATAAATTTCGGTACATGCATGTGAATTTTATTATATATATGTCGATACAAATGTTTTGGTACAGTCATTCATGTACCCTTATGTATTTATATATTTATGTGTCACTATTTCTTTTTTACTATTTTCTAATTTATGTTCACATTTAATTGAAAGAACTAATATGTGCATATTATTAAAATTAAAATTTTAATGTGGAGACATTAAATAACAAAAATAGAACATAAATTTTAATAAAAGTACACTTTAAGGGGTTCAATTGGATTTGTAATCTAGCATCAGGGTTTTATTTTAAATTATAATCATTTGCAAGGATTAATGTTCAAAAACCCCTAAATAAACTAAAGCAAAGAGTAGTAATTCCCGCCACTATAAATAAATTGCTTTGAATGAGTAAAGGTTAAAGATAATAATTGTTATTATAAGAAGGGCAACAGTGCCATGCCATCACGTATTTATACTGCACTATTCACTTTAACAACAAAATTAATAATAATAAGGGAAAAGTAAATATTAGTTTACTATATTCCCTTTCTCTTTTCTAACAGTAGTCATGTATCAAAGAGTAATATCTCTGAGAATTATAGGGAGATCAAACCATTGGATATGGCCCAAATTTTAGTTTCGTATGGATAAGAGGATAATGAACAACTTGAATGAAGAAAGCGTTTTGCATATGAGGTCAGGAAGTTAGAGTTTAAAAGTCGTTAACACGACTATCAACTTCTATGAATTTCATGTCTATCAGTATTTCTAAGACTTTGATTGAGTTAACCGATGGATCTTTCTGGGATTTTGTATGTTATGGGAGAGTGGCTACATCCTTAGAACAGCAATAGTACTTTCTTTCATTATCTGAACTAATAAAAGTATAAAAATAACTCTCAATATTTTTCTCTGCTCTCTCTTCTGCCTTTTATCTATTTTCTTTTTCTCTTCTTCTGTTTCTTCTCTTAAGTTTTTATTATCATACTTGCATGCTCTTTGTATTGAGCACTTAACATGCAAAAGTCTACAACACCAAATATTGCATGCTAAAATCCTACACACCTAAATAATACAGGTCTTTTAGCTAAAATAGTCCATGAGATTTGAATAACTCCTCACTTTGGTCTCTGAGATTCGAAATCAATAAAATTAGTCTCTGAGTTTGTCCACAATCAATCATTTTGGTCATTATGTGAAAAATCTCCATAAAATAAGGGTAATATGACAAAAATATCCTCAATTTTTGTCAAATCACTTTGGCTTATTGTTTATTAAATTAAGGGTAATTTTATTATTTTGATCCTTATTTAACATAATTTTTCACCCAATGACTAAAATGATTGATGGTAGATAATCATCTTAGGGGCCACTTATATTGATTTTAGATCTCAGGGGTTTAAGGTAATTTTATCATTTTGATCTTTATTTAACATAATTTTTCATTCAAGGACCAAAATGATTGATGATAGATAATCTTAAGGGCTACTTATATTGATTTTAAATTTCAAGAACAAAAGTAAAGAGTTATTCAAATCTTAGAGATCATTTTAATTAAAAAGCCAATAATAAATACCAAACTTCTAGTATTGAAGCTTACAAATTTGAAATTCATTCTTCGATTTTACGTGCTTGTTTACGCGGATCTTCACACCCACTTTACAACACTATTCACAAGAAAACCATTTTATTTTATTTTCTCAAGTAAATTAACGGACGTCCTCTTTTGGTAATTGACAGTCTGATATCTCCATTCGCACTGCTGAGTCCTTGCCACGTGTGATTTCCAACTTAGTGAGATAACAGACAATCAAACAATCAAACAATCAAACGGCTGTAAGCTGCACCATCTTCCAATAAAACTGTGCCTGTGAGGCACGTTACCACGTCGCACGTAAAGTTATCATTTACAAACTGATAATCCTTAATCCTAACTGGTGCGAAATTGGATCGAAATAATAGGCAACAAATAATCCTGTCAAGTGACACATTTGCCCCCATTCTAGTTGCTCTAAAAGACTAAAATGCGCACCTACATGGGTAAAATGGTAAAATAAAATAGATGTACCAAATCGTTTGGAAATTCGAACCACTGTGGATGCTGTGGAAAAGAACGGTGATCGTCAGCTAATCCAATTCAATAAATTGAAACTAAAATTGTGGATTAAATTTGGAAAATCAGGTATTTATACACAGTCACTGGGAACCGCCATTTTACATCATCATATTCGGAGAGCTCATCTCGTTCTGTAAGTCTCTCCCTCCATCTCTCCCCTTTTCTGTCAGCCTTAAGCCGTAAATTTTGGTTTTTTTTTTTTTTTTGGATAACTTTTTTGTTAATTTGTGTTCGTGATAAGTTGTAATTTTGGTTTTTGATTATTTGTTCCCAATTTTTTGTCTTTGTTTTTAAGGAGGCTGGTGATAATTTTGGATGTGGTAATTAGTAAAAGTTAGTGGTGATCAGGCTTTGGTTAATTTGAAGTTTGAACCTTTCTGCTTTGATGAATGAATATTTTGATGGAAACCCATTTTTTGTGTGGTAATTTTGATGATGGGTATTGGTAATCTCGTAAAATTGAAGTTCTGTTTGGCTCTGTGTTACTGTAATTGTAATTGCTCATGAAAAGTGTGTAAATTCATTTAATGGTCGTGATCACTGGTCACTGATTGCTGAGCTCTCCACAGAGTGCTTCTCTTGTTGCTGTATGCTTTTTGGTGTCTGTGAAAGAGAGAGGTATCACGTGAATCCGATTACGGGTTTTCACTAGAATACACTTGTGATTATGTGTGTTCATTTGGACTTTGATGGATGTGATCAATTTTGTTATATGGCAGGGCTATATTTGCATGAGACGCTGAAAATGAAGGCTGGGAGGATTTTGTTGCTTCTTCTTTGTTTGAATGTGGTTACATTTGGAGTGGTAACGAATCTTCCTCCACCTACAATATTTCCATATACATACAATACACAGATACATATATTGTTTAAAGATTAATTCCAACTAAATTTTGATTTTCTTTTCTTATTATCAATGGTTTTGTATTGAACACAGATTGCTGATTCGCCAACATGCCCTGCATCAGATCTTGGAAGTGGGTGCAGTGATTCTGATGAATGGGAAGGGGAATTTTTCCCTGGCATTCCCAAAATTAAGTATGAGGTAAAGGCTTATGAAACACTACTCTTATCTTGATAGACCTTTTCAATTTTCTTTTGTTTAATTCCTAATAAAATTTGAATTATGAAGCAGTTAATGGTTTGTGACCGAAGTTTCTTCATAACCATAGGAGTGGATGAGGTTTAGTGTTGCATTTTGGCACACATTCTGTGGAACAGGAGGTGACCCATTTGGTGCACCTACAAAGAATTAGCCATGGGAGGATGGAACTAATTCTGTGGCTATGGCAAAGTGAAGAAGTGAGATTTTGACTCTTACTTTTATCCTTTGCATTTGTGATTGATGATTATTGAGCTAACGTAATACATATTCTTGAATAAATGATGATGCAGTGAGAGCCAACTTTCAGTTCATAAACAAGCTTGGAGTTGATAGGTGGTGTTTCCATGACAGGGATATAGCTCTCGATGGCAAAACCTTGGAGGTGATACACTTTCTAGTTTACTTATATAACTGTTTTAGAATGTGAAAAAAGCAAATTAGGAGATAGGAAATTGCATTGCTCTCTCAAGGAAAGTACAAGATCTTATGAACCTGGAAATTGTTCATTGACCTTGTTTTGCCCGTTGCAGGAATCTAATAAAAACTTGGATGAAGTGGTGGCCCTTGCTAAGGAGCTTCAGGTACTTCTGCACAAGTACAGCAGCACGGAATGATATGATAAACTGACATAATACATGAAGGCAATTATTTTCATGCAAATGAAAGTTCTGTTACATTGATTTCAAGATGTGACATGTGCAGTCATACTTAATTCTCCCACTGCAATTTAGGCATGGCTCATCGGTTGTCTGACAATTCTTTTTTGGTCACTTTACGATGGAAAGGGAGACCAATCAATCATACCCAGCCTCCAAAACCCCATGCTAGTCAATGTTTTCTGATAAATTCCTAACAAGGTCAAGTGGAAAATGTAAAATACTAAAATGTCCAAGTATTTAGGAAAGCACATTAAATTCTTTCATATGCCCTGTAGGGAACCAAAATTCGACCTTTATGGGGCACAGCGCAGCTGTTTTTGCATCCTCGTTACATGTATGGTGGTGCTACTAGGTAATCTTAGGAACAAATTCTGAAAGGAAACATATTTGTTCCAAAGATTACCTAGTAGCACCAACATGCATCCTCAACTTATTGTATGTAATTGTTTGCACGTTCTGCAGGTTACACATTATGTAGGGGGTGAAAGTTATGTTTTCTGGGGTGGCCGTGAGGGTTACCAGAGTCTCTTGAATACTGACTTGGGAAGAGAGCTTGATCATCTGGTGAGTTCCATTTGCAGTTATTTCAAAATAAGCTTCCTTTCAGTGATACATTTCAATTTCTCATTTTCTTTTTCCTTTTCCTGTTGTGTATAAACCCTCCTTTAGCAACTGTAGTTCAAACCTACCTAGGAATACACTGTATTTATGCTACCATATCACTGTAGCGGTGTAACCTGTTTCTTGAAGCGGTTGTTGCCGACAAGAAGAAAATTGGATTCAGTGGTATACTTGTACTAAATTTATACCAAAGTTTTATACCTGATACCGTTATAACCTTAACTTCTAGTTTTATACCAGAGTGACTAGTTTCTCAACATTTCTCTTCAATTTTTATTTGTTGTTCTTTTGGTATCCACTACTTTGCTCAGGCGAGCTTATGTTTTTCTTTCCTTTCTGTGCCATTCAGGGACATTGTTGATTGAACCCAAGCCTCAAGAACCTACCAAACACCAGTATGCTACTTGCTTGATTATTAGTAATTTAATATGGTTTTCACTCATCTGTTTTCTCATGATTTTGTTAGGTATGACTGGGATGCTTCAACATCAGCAAATTTCCTGCGAAAGTATGGCCTCATATGTGAATTTTACACGTACCCTCTATATTCACGAGTCACTTGACTTTGTTACTATTAGTTTTTGGTTAAGCTCCAAAGTTGGCTATATGAATGAGATAAGTTGTGAAATTTTATACAATACAGTAAGTGTTTTTATATTTGGTTTTTGCATTCATAGTGACATGTCATTTTGTAGTCCATTTATTTGAATTCTTTACGTGAAAGTTTTGCTCAATAGTGTGCTAGCCTTCTTTCAATTGAACTGGAAGAGCAGAGATATTGAGAACTATTTTTCAATCATATATAGTTTTCTTACTTTAAAGGAGTTATACTTAACAGCGTCATCCCATTTCTTTTGTAGGCGAATTTAAGCTTAACATTGAGTGCAATCATGCCACACTATCTGGTCACAGGTAAATCACAGCTTGTGCCTTAAGTTCTTCATAAGCAAACGCTCACGTTATATTTCTCCCTCGAGTTGTGTGAGCACATCAGAAAATTTGAAATCCTTCGCCAAATCTGTAACAATTGTGTACTTTGCAGCTGCTATCATGAGCTTGAAACTGCAAGACTGAATGGTCTACTAGGAAACGTTGATGCAAACACTGGAGATCCTCAGACTGGTTATTGTAATACTTCAAATCTTTTTGTAACCGAAACTATATATGAATGAAGGTTATAAACGGTGATTTTGTCACTGTCACAGGGTGGGATACAGATCAGTTTCTCACAGATATTGCAGATGCAACTCTGGTTATCCACAGTGTAGTAAAGAATGTATGCCACAAATGACATCAATTTCAGCTTCTTGTTTTAAGGTTTAAAAACTTGTGATTGGTCGGGCATGCAATTTCATGAGCTTATCTATTTCTGTTCTCTCTTTATCTCAGGGAGGAATAGCACCAGGAGGATTCAACTTTGATGCAAAATTGTCAGTTCCTTATATTGACTTTCCATTTTATTGTGAATGCATATATGGTGACATTTTTATGCAGATAATGCTAGGGAGACCAAATTTTTAAACCAAATTCGCAAACCAAGTAATAATCCAATCATCAACCACGACACCATTTGGTTTAAAAATTTGGTCTCCCTAGCATTATCCTTTTTATGCTGGTAGCTAAGTTTTCTTATATTGTTTCTTTTTTCCTTTTTATTAAACAATATTTAGATGGAGGGAAAGCACAGATGTTGAGGATTTGTTCATTGCTCATATCAGCGGAATGGATACCCTGGCCCGTGGCCTCCGTAATGTTGTGAAGCTGATTGAGGTAGTGTGTGTGCGCTTGACTTCCTCTTTCTCAATGAATTATGATTTTGTTTTTCTGCTTGCTAATCATGATACCATGTCTCTTCATTTTTGAATTACAAAGGATGGTTCTCTGCATGAGCTTGTTCGCAAAAGATATGAGAGTTTCGATACATAAATTGGGGCACTTATAGAGGTAACCACTTTCAAACACTATGTCTAGTTTTGTGGGTTTAAATGGCCTAGATGGCTGCACCTTCAACAGGCCGGTAAGGGTGATTTTGAGTATCTTGAGAAGAAGGCCATAGGATGGGGTGAACCGAGAGTTCCTTCTGCCAAGCTGGTAATACTTGGTTTAGAAACATTCATCTGAGCTCCTAGCATCAAATATCCGAACAATCACAGAAAATTTGCTTCAATACTGGCACTGCGGATGCATATATAATAGAAATAATCGAAACAGAAGAGTCAACGCCTCAGGATATATATTAAGAAATATGTCTAAAATCATATTGCTCTTATTATGTCTGCATCATGATCTCTGCATTCTGGGTGACCATACATATTTCTAACACCAGTGATGAAAATCTAAATAGGCGATGGAAGATCTGAGAAGTATGAAAAAGATAAAAGAAAAAAAAAATTGTCTAAAATGAAATTGTTCTTATTATGTCTGCACTCTCCTGAAGTTGTACTCAGTATTTCAGCTTCCTTGAGAAAATATAGAGAAAAAAATAAAATTCATTTTTGGACGAATAAAAGGATTCGTAGCACGTGTAAAGCTTGCAAGTAGTTATGAGGAGAAGATGAAAATCTGGATGATAACATACTCTCGGTGCAATCCTAGTAATTTATGTTTAAGATACGTTGTAATATCAAGTTGTGGGGTTTGTTTCAGGAACTTGCGGAGATGCTTTTCCAGTCGGTATTGTAAGCACGCAGAATAGGATAACGAGTTTTTTGTTTGGTAGAAATAATTGATGTAGTAATATTTACCAATAAAGGACAGTGTTTCCTTTGTTCTTGGAGAGTATACAAGTAACCAGTTGATCTAGATTCTTGTAACCATGTAGAGTTACATATTGCCTATATGGGATGGTCTGGAATGCTTATCCTACCTAGTCTACGACAGCGTTTACGCAGCTTTTGAGCCATGATTTGGTATATTGCTGTTGAGGTTTCCTTTTTAAATTTGAACAATATATGTGGTGCATGAAATGGAGCATGATTTGCCTTTCAAATTTCAATTCAGGGGCAAATGTATGCAGTTTGATGATCTTAGCTAGCACATGCCTAAGGCCCCTTAAGAAATTTCATGGTATTAGAGCAGGTTGTTCCACGTGTGAAGTCGAATGGCCACACGCACTCCACATTGCTCTTTTGTGTTGTTCACATGTTAGGCTTGAAAATTTGTCACACGTGAGGTGACGTGTTAAGAATGAATCTCACATTAAATGATATTGGACAAGCATTTCAAACTAGGAGTCTGGGAACAATAAGACCTAGGAGTTTGGGAACAACCGATTCTTAACTCCTACGTCATATTATATTGAAGATATAGGACAAGCATGTCAAACTAGGGCCTCAAATCAAACCTTACCATATGCTAAAAAAACTTCACAACTCAACAATTACAAATTCATCGGAAATAGAATATAATTCCTCACCATAGAGGACTTATATACAACCAACAAGGACAGTACTGCTCACATAAGGTCCTCACTGTGAAAACTTGTGAGGATCTCTTTTATATAAGTCATTAGATTAATCTAACGGTAGCTAGGTTTATTACTCTTTTTTCTTCAAGAAAAACGATATTATTTGCATTAAAGGGAAAGAGGTGGTTTTAGCCTCACAATGAGGGAGCAATAATGTGGTTCAAACTCGCATTTGATGAGAATCGAACCTAAGACCTCACTTACAAGTGAAGAGAAATACTACTAAACCGTAGTACTAAATGACTTATTTACTTTAAATACTCCATGTTACAACTAAACAAAATATCAATTGAAAAAAAAAAAAAAAAAAAAAAGGAGAATTCACATATCCCTGAGGTTTCACATATCCCTCCATTTACAAAGCCCAGTCGTCTTCATCGTGTATCTCAACAAAATACAATTTGAACGAACCAGATCAAAGAAACCAAACAATCCAATTACATAAAACCCTAATAACTTTACAAACCAATTCCAGCCAATCCAATTCCACAAATTGCTTCAACAATTCAAGAATTCAAATTTTCGGACGAAGACGATGGAAAATCCCAATCGGCCCTTATTTTTACTAGGCAAAAAGAAAAAAAGAAAAAGAAAAACTGAGGTGGAGAAAGGATTGTTGAGGGGAAGGGATCGACGCTGGCCATCATCAACTGAGTGCGAACGATAGCACCCTATTCTTCGCTTACTCTTCATTTGTTTTTTTAGCTTAGTTAAAATGGTTTCTGAGATTTGTATAATACATCACTTTATCCTTGATATTGAAAATTAATAGAAATGGTTCTGAGATTGTCCATCATTCATTATTTTGGTCATTCCGTTAAAAACTCCGTTAAGTGTTGCGGAGTTTTTGGCCGAAAGTTTGGGTAATTTTTAAAGTTTCGTAACTCAATCATTTCTTAATCAAATTCGACCCATAATATATCAAAATGAAGAGAGGAAAGTGTAGAACAAGATTATACCTATTTGGAAGCCCAATGGTTGCCGGAGATGGCCGGAAAATATCCTAAAGTGTAATTGATCCACGGGAAAACTAGAAAACTTGCTGGAAACTGGATAAAATTTAAAGGTTCATAACTTCTTCAATATTCAACAAAATTGAGTGATTCAAAACCGAAAATCATACTTCTTAACTAGACCAAGAGAATGGTACCTTTCTCGACGGCTAAATTGCCGTGGTTTGGCTGGAAAACGTTTCGAAATTGGCTGTCTTAGTCTCGAGTTAGCCACTTTCGAGCCATTTTCCTGAAAAAAAAAAAAAAAAAAGAAGATGAATTAGCCGTCGAGGAAGGTACCATTCTCTTCATCTCGTTGAGAAGTATGATTTTTGTTTTCGAATCACTTGATTTCATTGAGTATTGAAGAAGTTATGAACGTTTTAAGTTTACCTAGTTTTCGGCGAATTTTCCATTTTTCCCACAGACCAGTCACCTTTTAGGCTATTTTTTCCAGCCATCTCCAGTAACCATTGGGCTTCCAAATAGGTATAATCTTGTTCTACACTTTCCTATCTTCATTTTGATATATTATGGCTCGAATTTGGTTAAAAAACGATTAAGTTACAAAGATTTGAAAATTACCCAAACTTTCGGCCAAGAGCTCTGCGACACTTAACGGAGTTTTTAACGGAAAAACCAAAATAATGGATGGTAGACAATTTCAGGGACCATTTTGGCTAAAAAGCCTTTGTTTTTTAATTGGTTACGATCCTACAATTTGTTTAGGTACAACATGGCTTCTTATATATAATAAGCTTACTACCGTTAGATTAATCTAACATCTCAAATGAAAGAGATCCTCGCATGTTCTCAAAATCGTCGGTAAAAACAATGTAGCAGTACCCCTAGCAAACAAAGTGTCCCTTAAATGAGAACTTTATACATATTTATGTTATGCATAGAGGGAGCTATAGTTACATATGAGGTGGGACAGGTGCAGTACTATTGCCTTTGCTTCTCAACCGCTCAGATCAGTTGTGTTTTATACTACTCAAAACAAGTTAATAAACATCACCACAAGAAGCAGAGAGAGAGAGAGAGAGAGAGGAAAGGAAACAAGATGAAGCAGCTCAACCTACCACTGCAACTATGCTTAACAACCTGCATAATACTGCAGGTACTGACTTGCTCAAACTCGAACCCAACACCGTTGCCATGGGCACTGCAATTCCATGCACTTCTATTCATGGACCTGAACACAACACACCACCAGCTCAGCGATCTCTGGTACGACTGGCCGAGAGGTAGGAACGTCAACAGAATTCAGAAGCAGCTAGGTGGTACGACATAGAGTCGGTGACAACGGAAGTTGCGAGATTATGGATTTTGGAGTTGGCATTCCAAGGCCCGATTTTCTTGACGGAGCAGAGTATCTTGGGACGGAAGTCACAGATGGTTTTCTTTGCAATGTGTGGGAGAAGGTGGATTTTATTTGGTACTATGAGGAAGTTTACACTAAGAGGCCAGTTCGTTGGGATTTCTACGATGGTATATGTATGCCATTCTTCTTAGTTCCCTAGCAATTATATTTTCGCTACTGAAGAAGCCTGATTCAAGTAATTAGTCATCAATAGGTTACTGCTAATGATTTGTATGATTATTTTGTAGGAATATCTTCTCAGGTAATGACATTTGAGGTTGGCGCAGTGTTACCAGATACAGTCACTCAAGCACCTGCATACTGCTTCAACAAAGACAAAGATGCATAGACCTTAGACTTTAAGTTACGAAATGGGCATCATGTTGCCCGAGCCACGGTTCGGTTGGGTTCGGGTCTGATTTTAATTTTTGTAAATCATTATATATACGTAGGAAAATGTTAGGAATGTCAAATTTTTAGACTATTTTTTTTTGTAGTTCATAGGATGTGGTGGTTGATGTTAGTACCATTCTTTAAATCATTAAAAATAGAGTCCAATTGTCAATCGACACATCATGTGATCTACAAATTATGATTTTAAAATTTGATATCTTTAACATCATCTATATATATGTGCACGCGCGTGCGTTTATTTTTATAGTATTCTACATTATATGTGTAGATGGTAAACGTGTAGTCCATGCATTGACTAATGATCAGTTAAAAATGTTAAATAAAGTTATTGGACTTTGGATTGTAACTACTTTGAAGTCTGAAGGTATCAGATATAATATATTTGATATCTTCTCTCTTCCTTCTTTATTTTTTATTTTTTATTTTTGTTTTTTGGAAGATACAAGAGGGAAACATTCATTGAGGTTAATGGTCCGACTAGCACCAAAGGAAGGAGTAAAATTTTGTAACCAAATTGGATGAAAGAAAGTCTAAACACCAAAATCTAGGTTGTGAACGAGCTGAATTAAATTGACTATCACTTTGCTAAAGCTTAACTTGTTTTACTATAGTTGAACTTCATAACGAAAAGTTCACAACTTGGCCTCACAACTTAAAAAATAAATATACAAAACATTACAACACAAAATTTTCAATAGAATACTAGTCAAACATAAACATGTTTTTTCATTTTGATGATTGAAACGAGTGGGAGGCTACATCAAGAGTTTCACTTAACCATTCCCCTAATGCAGCCAAAGTGTTAGTGCCAGGAGAATGTTCTTCGCTTCGCAGGCAAAAACCACCATCTCGGTCTGTTTTCTCATTGTTATCATTTTCCTTCCAAGGGATGGGGTAGGAATGTATAATTACATTTTTTTACATGCCCGGGAACAACACATTTTATCTGAAAAATGTTTAATCTAGATGTATGGTTGGACATAATATCAATTTCGTCTAATTTACTATCCCACTTGTAATTTCTTTGAAAACAAAAGAAAACAGAGGACATAATATCAATTTCGTCTTTAAAGAAATTCAAATTGATGATAACACTAAAAACCGAATCTCAAACATGATATTATATTCCATGCATATTTTATTAATAGAATCTAATTTTAGTTGTCTCGTAAAAAAATACTAGTTGTTCATGAGCTTTTACAAAACAAACATACCGATACCAATATCTCGCATTTAAAACTCATTTCAGGAGAAAAGACTTATACTACTAGTACAAGGCCATTAGGCCATCTCAAATGGTTTGGTTAAATGTAGCCCTGTGCCATTTTTATAGCCCTCCAAATTAATAGAATCTAATTTTAGTTGTCTCGTAAAAAAATACTAGCTGTTCATGAGCTTTTACAAAACAAACATACCAATACCAATATCTCGCATTTAAAACTCATTTCAGGAGAAAAGACTTATACTACTAGTACAAGGCCATTAGGTCATCTCAAATGGTTTGGTTAAATGTAGCCCCTGTGCCATTTTTATAGCCCTCCAAATTAATAGAATCTAATTTTAGTTGTCTCGTAAAAAAATACTAGTTGTTCATGAGCTTTTACAAAACAAACATACTAATACCAATATCTCGCATTTAAAACTCATTTCAGGAGAAAAGACGTATA